CGTAGCATTTGAGAATCTCCCCAAGACACTCAAAGACTGGTTGACGAAGGCCTTAGAGGTAGAGTCTCGCCGACTCATGGTGAACCCCTCTTCCAACCATAGATCCCGTGACTCTAACGCGATGGATATTGACCACACTGGAATAGAAGAAGGAGAAGATGAAGAAAGGCAGGTAAAGAAGACTTACCTATCCCCTCAAGAGTGGGAACACAGGTGCAAGAATGGCCTCTGCTTCAAGTGTGGCAAGAAGGGTCTTATCAAAGACTGCCTGAACCATCCCGCCTTTACACCAAGGCCACCGCAGACCACCACCAAGAAAACCAGCAAGGACGATGAAGACGACTATAAGGAATTCCTAGAGTGGAAGGCGTTTAAAGCACACCAGGCTAAGAAAGCTGAGGATAAGGATTTTGCTTAAAGGAGACTCAACCAGTGTCAGCCCCTCCTAGAATAGGACTAGTAGTACAATTGATTGGTGATGTAAATTCTATGTGTTTGCCTCTGATGTTTGACTCTAGCCTCAAAATCGCCGAAGCCGCAGCTCTTATCGACTGCAGAGCAGAAGGGGAATTCATTGATTGGATGTTCATACGACAGAACTCCATCCCCATGGAACAACTCATCAAACCCATCAAAGTCCGCAATGTCAACGTAACCCTTAATAAGAAAGGTCAGATCACACATGCTTGCAATCTATCCTTTTATATCAAAGGAATTCACATGGAAAGACACTTCCTTGTTACCTCTCTAGGAGGAGAGGATGTCATCCTGGGAATATCCTGGCTAAAGAAAGAAAACCCACAGATTGACTGGACGAAAGAAGAAGTAACCCTGAGAGAACAAAGCGCATATATCGAAGACGTTGAAGAAGAAGATTCATTCTTCGATGCACAGGATTCCCTAGAAGACGAATGGGATCCTGCCGCAGAAAGTATTCTGCACTCCTCTGAAATCCCTAACCTCCTTGACCCTGAACCCACTGACGAAACAGAAGAAGATTTAGACCCTGATGAATTCTTGATCACTTATTGCAAAGGCGATCATGTCATAGGGACTTATGAAACAGAAAGTTTCAATACCCCTCTTACTAATGAACATATTCCCCCCAACCACAGATACTTCTCGATCCATGGAACCTTAGTCAGGAAAGCTGACAACATCTCCCAAACCCTAGCCCAAGACACCGCCAAACCGAAGAAAATGTTCGAAGAACTCATACCAGAGATCTTCCAGAAGTATAAGGACGTATTCAGAGAAGTGGCTAATGGAACTCTCCCACCAGAACACAAGTTTGATCATAAAATTGATCATAAGGAAACCTTCAAACCACGTAAATGTAAAATTTACCCTCTAAACCCCATGGAAGAAAAAGCCATGAACAATTTCATTGATGAAAATTTAGCCAAAGGAACAATCATTCCCTCCGAATCCCCACAGTCATCTCCATTCTTCTTTGTCGGTAAAAAGGACAGCTCTCTACATCCCTGCCAGGACTACCGGTACCTCAATGAACACACGGTTAAGAATAATTACCCGCTTCTGCTAATCTCAGATCTTATAGATAAGCTAAAAAAACTCGAAGATCTTTACCAAGATGGACATCCGATGGGGATACAACAATGTCCGACTCAAGAAGACCAATCAATGGAAAGCTGCCTTCATGACAGCTAGAGGACTATTCAAACCCACAGTAATGTTCTTTGGCATGTGTAATTCGCCTGCCACCTTTCAATCAATGATGAATGATACATTTGGAGATATGATCCAAGAAGGATGGCTTATCATTTATATGGACAATATACTGATCTTCTCTGACAATTACAATACTCATCAAAAACAAACTCACCAGATTCTAGAACGACTCTGTGAACACCACCTATACCTCAAACCGGAGAAATGTACCTTCAACATAGAAGAAATCGAGTATCTTGGCATGATTATCAAACCAGGATCAGTAGCTATGGACCCAGCTAAACTGAAGGGAATCTCTGAGTGGGAAACCCTGAAGAAGGTCAAAGATGTCTGCTCTTTCCTTGGTTTTGCGAACTTCTATCACCGATTTATTGCTGACTATTCCACAATCGCTCGACCCTTAATAGATCTCACAAAGAAAGATATGCTGTTTGAATGGACTACTGAACGAGACTCCGCCTTTTGGAGATTGAAATTAATCTTCACGTCCGCACCCATTCTCCAAATCCCTGATCAACTTTCTCCCTTCGCCATCGCCACAGATGCCTCCCTATATGCAACAGGAGCAGTACTCCTCCAGAAAGACTCTAATGGTGAATGGCTTCCTTGTTCCTATCTCTCCCAATCCTTTGCTCCAGCAAAAGGAAACTACCAGATCTATGACCAAGAACTCTTCACAGTCATCCGAGTGCTCAAAGCTTGGCACCATTATCTTCTCGGATCCCCCTTTCCAGTAGAAGTCCAAACCGACCACAAGAACCTCACCTACTTCTGCAACATGCAAGATATCAATAAACGCCAAGCACACTGGCAAACATTCCTCTCCCAGTTCGACATCCGTTTCAAATACGTACCAGGCAAAGATTTAACCATTTCAGACACTTTATTTCAGTAGATTGGATCACCTTCCTGATGATAGCGTTGAAAAGGACAATACCAGTATCCAAATTCTCCCTGATTATATGTTTCTCAATTCCATTTCTCTCTCTGATTGTTTACATATTTCTTCCTCCATTGACCCAGTAGTACAGACAGCGCTCGACACGCTACAAAACCCTTCTATTCCTCCTCCCCTTCATTCCACACTTTCCGATTGGAAACTATGCAATGGTATTCTTACTTATAAAGGACTTACTTATGTACCCCCAGGCGACCTTTGTCGCAATATCACCTCACTTCATCACGACTCTCCAACTGCCGGCCATCCAGGACATTACAAAACCCAAGAACTCCTATCACGTGACTACTGGTGGCCGGGCCTCTCTACCTTTGTCAAGAACTTCATCAACAGCTGTAGCATCTGCCAACAGAATAAAGTAAACACGCACCTGTCCTCTCCCCCTCTATGTCCTATCCCTGCCCCTCTATCTAATCGCCCCTTCGCTCATTGTTCTACCAACCTCATCTGCTGACCTCCCACCTTCCAATGGCTATGATAGCATCATGGCCTTTCAAAGGGGGTAATTCTCACTCCTTGCAACAAGACGATAGATGCTGAAGGCATAGCAAACATCTTTTTCTCCAAAGTATTCTCTAGATACAGACTCTACGATAAAATTATCTCTGACCGTGGCCCCCAATTTGCCTCTAGATTCCAGATCGAACTCAGAAAGCTCCTCAGATACAAGAACTCCCTTTCCACTGTATTCCACCCTCAGAGTGATGGAGAGACTGAACGAGTCAACCAAGAACTCAAAGTCTACCTCCAAATCTTCTGCACTAATGACACGACTGGCTGGGCATCCATGCTTCCTTCTCACTGAGTTCGTCCATAACTCTTGTCATCACTTCACTCACAGGACTTCACCATTCTATCTCATGATGGGATACCACCCCAAACATCTCCCCAATCTCCACCCAAAGAGCAACATCCCCAATGTAGAACAACAACTCATCATCCTTAACAAGGCTTGTGATGAAGCCTTAGCCATGCATGAACTAGTGCACAACACCATGAGACAACGCATCACATCTAAGTTCACACCCTTCTGCAAAGGTGACAAGGTCTGGCTAGAATCCAAGAACCTTCACCTCGGATACCCCAGTCATAAACTCGCCCCAAAACGAGAAGGACCATTTACCATATCCAATGTCCTATCCCCAGTCACCTATCGACTATCTCTACCCGCGCAATGGCATATTCATCCCATATTCCACACTGCACTACTATCCCCTTTCAAAGAGAACGACACTCACGGTCCTAACTTTGTTGCACCACCACCTGACCTCATAGACGGCGAAGAAGAACAGGAGATCAAAGCCATAGTTGGTCATCGAGGCTCCACCTCACACAGATATTATAATGTAAAGTGGAAGGGATTCCCGAGCTCCGAGAACGAATGGATGACAGAGAAACAAATGGGTAACACTTCCAATATTCTTCTCTCTTACAAAACCGTGCATTGTCTTTGATTTCTTTTCTCTTTTTGTAGTATTCATGGACTACTACCCTTACAATGGGGGTAATGTTATGGTTCTCTTTTCCCTTGCTTACTAAACCTTCTATGACCTTCCATCTCATTCTATCATACGATTCTCTTCCTCTTTTTCTCATTCGCTGTTGTCTTATTGTATGACTTTCTCCTTTCTTTATTATATTCAGACTCCGCTTTAACTCTCTTATTTAAACCGTCATCTTACCTTTGTACTCTTTAACTTGACCTACACAGACCATGGCCTGCAATTCACTGCTTCACTCGCACAACTTAACACTAGGGTGTTACTAGACTTTCGACTATTGTTTCTGCTAAGACTGTCTGACAATGCTGAGCGTAACAGCCTCTCTCACACAGGAGGGATGGATTATAGGTCCTGAAGGCCAGCTTCTCCTGTAGATCCCAGGCCACTTCCATCCGACCGTCTGTGCCCACAACATGCTGGTGATACCTAATGGTGCTGTACCGTTGGATTTAAGTCGTTTTGTACATGGCACATCAAGGTAGAAGTGTCAGAACACGCCCAGACGATTCACATATTACTCAATTCTGCCTATTGCACATATTTCTAAAGTCACTTCTCCTTCGTTAGATTGCATGTCTAAAATGTGCAGCAGGAACGGCAGACCGGTGGAGGCTTGCCTCACCGGGGCATTCATGAATATAAAGGTGCAGGGGGACACGGGTCCCCACAACTAGATTGTACTGTCTTATATAGAGTATTGCTGTCAAAGGCACAGCATGGGCACAAGTTGAAGTGGTAGCATTCGCAGTATGTGACATGATGTGCTGTGTGAGAATTGACGTGTCCATTGAAGTTTCTGGGTACTCATGCATGCTAAAGTGGTGAAGCGCGACAGAGGTACTGACCTTTCACTCGTCCCTGTCTTGTACTTCATCTGGCAACTGCGACCCCAGCCATCTCAATGCACCAGCCATCACAATCAAGACGACATATACTGCGTTTCCTGAGAGAAGATTGTGTTCCTTTGACAAAGCAAAGAGCGAAGTCGCCAAGGCGGGCCCAATGGCACGAGCTACCGACGCAGAGGTTTGGCCAAGGCCGTTAATAGCACCAAGAACATTTTTTGTAGGGGCAGAGGCTGTGACAAACAAAAAGACAGTCCCTGTAATTAAGTGGGTTACTTGTAATGACAATACATTTTCATTGCAGCACGCACCAAATGCCATATCCCATATGACTGTCAGAACTAGTTGTACAAGCAAGGAAAACGTGATTGTATGATCAACCACCCCTCTTGTGTGCACAAGCCATGACATTATCGGAAACATAACCATGGCTGGTGCGAATAACGACACTGACACACAGAATAGACACTTTGGACCGAGCCAATTGACGATTTTGGCGAAGAACAATGCTTGAAATATACCATCCACTATCCCCAAGACCGCCAGCCACGAACCAATAGTAGAAGGAGAAAATCCAAGGCCGCCAAGATAGGTCGGCGTCGACATGAACAGAGGCATGAGAGCCCTGAGAGAAACGTCAAGGAAGGCGAGCATGGCGAAGTTTGCAATTGGGATAACAATGCTAGGTGTGAGCAGAGATCGCAAGGGCATATCTGCCATGGATTTTTTAGCAAGTGCTTCTCTGTCGGCATCGCTTGAAACGCCGAGCGTAGTTGATGCCAACTTTGGTCGGCGCTTTGTTGATAATGTCTGATGATTGTGAGTGATGTGTATGATAAGACAGGTATGTAGGACCCACTTCTTCTAAAAAGAGTGACTGTACTAAAATGACCACGACGAACAGACAGGCAGCCACTGCACAAGGCAGAAAGTATGGGTATTTTCCCCAAAATGGATTGGCAAATAATGCAGGCCAATGATCTTGCGGTCGCGCGAGCGTTCCGCCCATTAAAGGACTGACGTACGAATTTAATCATTTGCCATCTCCACAGCCAATAGTCCCACTTACCCAAGGCAGAATCCAATACTCCAGACGATCGGGATCAACGCAAATCCCTGAGCCATATTTGTCGAGTCCGTCAATTCTGCCATCATGGTTTTCATAACTCCAACGTTGCCATTCAGAACACCGCACATGCAGCGGCTAGAGAAACCATCTCAGTATTGCGTATCTCGTTCAGCTGAAGACATACCTAATGACAAGGCTCCAGAAGGTCGTCGAGAGGCCGAAACACAGTATCGAAATACAAGCTCCTGATAGTCCAACTAGTAGCACCGGCTTACGCCCGACGCGGTCAGACACCCGACTCCACTTCAGCACTGTCAGTGCCTGCGCGACGAAAAACAAAGACTCCTGCCGATCACATCCGATAGGTCATGATAAGCAAACCGTTCTCGTAAGTTGTAATCTCGACACTTACAATGATTCCAGCATAATATCCTACAGCCGCATCGTTCCCTCCAGTGATTCCAAGTTCTCTGATAAGCTGAGAGCGAAACGATATCAAACACATATGTCGGAGAAAATGGCATTGTGAAGTCATACCTGATTGATGTACGGGAATATAGACGTCAAGGCGATGGGTTCTGCAAGTTGCATCATCATGAGTATGCCTATCTGGAGTTTTGGAAGAGGCGTTTTAGGTTTTTTCAAGCGCCTTGGAGGGATCAGAGGCGTGGTCTCGTTTGCTATCATGAGAGGAGAATCGGAGGTATCCATTCTGACTAGTCAGGGGAGAGAGCCTTGCGAGTCCAGAGGCAGATGCAGCAAACCACCTTGATATGGCACGAAAACACGAATCTGTGTTTATAACCTGCGCATTTCAACACGGTCAATTGTCGAAACGATATTATGTCAAGTCAAGACATTTTTGTGAAGCGACATACCGGACTGTCTGGGAACAGCCGGGAACGGGAAAAAATTGCGGCGCGAGCTATCCGTGTTTCTAGGTTGAGCGTAGTGCCAGCGATACATAGTACCTGCTCAAATCGATCAGCGATCAACGGCTCTTGATAAGTATTTATCCGATGATAACAAACTTGAAACAAGCAAGTCGCTGCTCGTGAGCGTTAGAAATAGATAAAAACGCACGAACAATTAGGAATGTATTACAACATGGCTGCCGTTATTTGAGTAAGTGAGATAGTAGTTGTGGAGTCTGGACGGTGTTTCGAATAGATTCGCGAATCGCAACTGAGATGTCATGCACCTATAAGTCAACTGTAAGTTGCAGGTTCCGGAAAGCCTCTATTTTCTCAGTGCCTAGGCATCCAATGAAGAGAAACAGTACCTCGATTAATATTGAAGTGTCCTATTTCAAGTTGATTACGCTGTAGGCTGCCCTGGGCTCGGCCAGCGCGCATGCGTACACTGTTCAACCAGCAGGGATGCCATGATTGTCGGAAGAGATATCATCCTGCCATGACGTCAGCCACTTCCAGAAGCGAGTCTCTGGGAGTATGGTGGATGGCTTGACGCGGGTGCAGTGATATATCATATCGCGCAACCACTAATGAGGCTTGTCCCTAGTTCACCCTTTCACTTGCAAGTTTTCGCCCAGTGTGGCCTCTCGAATACTAAAGTGTCACCTCGTCGCACTGTAAAAATATCTGAAATACGGTTTGTTCGCACTTGAGGCAGCTCAATTCGACAGTCACATCTGTAAATCCATATCAAAACCATATCATCGCGCAACGACTGAGGTACAATACAAATGAAAGAGTCAGATTATTGAACAAATATGCTACATCCGCAGCGTATTGATCAATCAGAATTAGGGTCGAAACGTTGAGTCACCTACTCTAGAAGATTTCCATTCTCTTGATGTGGGACCCAGTGCTACTCCACTACGGAACAGCAACACCAGCCTTGACAGGTCCGCGAGCTTTGATACGATCGAACCACGCCTAATTAAATCAAACGCTTAGTACAAGATACACAACTTCATACACTCATACGCATACCCACCCTTGGCAGCACTTTCCTCGCGTTCCCACGGTCTTTCAGACCCGGTATCCATGTTATGGGAAACTGGGCTGAAAGCCCATCATCCCTGGGAGGCCCTCCCCCCCAATTCTACAATAAAATCTTGCCCTTGCGAGGATATTTACCTCAGGTTTGCGCAGAGGCTCCGGCGGAGGTTCTTGTTGTACGTATAGTTTGCACCATTCCTCATCACATAGCGCTGTCCGCTGCCCTTGCTCGCAGCCGCCACCGTCAAATGTAGGGCCTAGATCTATGACCTCGTCAAACTGGCATTGCTACACCCCCGTTCAACTTGAACTCCCCTTGTGGGGGCAACAAGACTGGAATCTGGCAGTATATTCTTCTTGATCTGGATCTAGTATGGCCGCCTCTGAGCTTCGCAAAGTTTTTTTTAGAACTGACACATTCTGCGGCCTGCTGCCTTCGGGACAAAAAATTAAACTGACACTTCTTCATCAACGGTGTTTGAGCTAGCTTCGATTAATTGATTTTTCCGAGTGTTCTCATGCCCGGTATGTACCTCGCGAACCTCAAGTGCATTTTGTTCAACAAAACTTGTCTCACCGCATGAACCTCGAAAGCATTTCCAATTTTCACCTCATGATCCTTGTAAGCATCTCGTTCAACGAGTCATCTCTCACTGCGCGAACCTCGAATGCATCTTGTTCAACGAGACATCTCTCACCACACAGACCTCGAAAGCATCTTGTTTAACGAGACATCTCTCACCACGCAAACCTCGAAAGCATTTCGTTCAAACGGTATATTCAACACTCGTAAATGCAAATTGTGTGGGGTGGAGACGATGGTGCTCATGGTACCCAATTACAACACCTCGTCATCGTCCTGGGTCTGCAAAAACCCGATGATTCATGCACGTTACGTCCATTGTAACGTGGCGCTAGGTCTTGGTGATGGTAAGGCGTGGGCGGGTGGTACAGGATGTCAGATGGGTGCAGTTGGGTGCGGTTGGGCGTGTGATTCAGACCGTGATGGTGGTTGTAGAGGAAGCCTGCGTGAAAAGACGTGATTACACATAGACAGATTTAAAAAAAGCTTACCTAGACCACTCGCCATGCTTCGCGGGCGCATCATGCATGAGAACATGCTCATTGTTGAAATTGAGCGGGGGATGTATCAGGGCTGAAGGCTGCCAAAGGGATGTTACCAGCGGCACCCAAAAGGACTCGGAAGAACGAAGCACTACCCCCAGCAGTTAAATCTTTTCGTTCTGTGTGGTTGGTCAGTGCATCACCACGAATGCGCTCATGGTACCCAATTAAAATGCCTCGTTGTCCTCCTGGGTCTGCAAAAACCCGATGAGCATGTCATTGGGAGGAAAGAGATTGTTGACGGCGTATCCCTTGGTGAGGACCTCAAGGTTGGAGAGAGTGTATAAAGGGTGCGTGGTGTCCGTGAGCCCTGCAAACGACATCCTAGAGACACACATTGAAACATTTGAGCCTATTGGAAAGATGCCCTGTAGTGGTGATGTGGGTCCATTCTACCCGTGTAAGAGTAGCAGAGAGCACTGCCAGGTCTGTAGTAAGAGAAGAGAACAAGGGAACCGCACAGTGAGTATTTGGTGAGGTGAACTGTCGATGAAGCTACCTACAGGGAAGGAATCATGGAAGAGAACGACTCAGATATGCGCTAGGCATGGTCACAATTCTTGAGTACACAAGATCATGTGACTACGCAACACGCGTCAAGTTGATCAAGTTCAACGGGAGGTTCTCAGGTAAGATCAGCGGGAGGTTCGCGGTGCACCCGATGACTCGGAGGGACAATGTACGGAGGATGTCTGCGCACCATTGATTAACCAATCAGCATCCGTATAACGATAGTTACAAAATAGAAACATAGCCTGATAGCTCTACCTTTGGCATAAGTCCTGCTAGTGCACATATTAAGATGCTGCACAACATGCCGGTTCCAAGGGCACCCATAAGTCTGCAATATGTTCAGTAGAATATCTGAATAAACCAATTAATGCTCAGAATGCTCCCACTGTTCATTGCAATTACAGTCATTTCCGAAAGTCTTGACTCACGTGTTCGAAATGGTTCAAAAATAGTGAAAATGTCGAAAATTCAGCAAACTTGCACCACTCTCCTTCAAAGTCGAGCAGAAAAGCATAACTGTCACTCTTTTGAACATTAGATTATGTCTAATACAGTAACTGAATGCTCCGATGAGGAGGATGCCTCTCATTCGCAACACTCTGATGAAGAGTCTGTTGGTGGTATTCATATGATCATTCACTCTACTCCACAGCCTACACTACAGATAACCGCTATGTCTATACCAGCCTCGAGCATTTTCGGCATTTACAGCCTTGAAGCAAGCTTCACGAAGGTCCTGCTCGGGGAATTCGCTGTGTTGATGATCTCTCCAATGCCGTCGAAGCCACTTCTTCACTGTAGAGAAAGTGAGCGACTGAATAAAATGAATTATGTCCAAACGTACAGCAACTGAAGCTCTCCTCGATCGGATTGAAGTCCGGAGAGTATGGCGGCAGAAAAATAAGTAAGCAACCTATGAATGTGTCAGACACTTGCAGGCAAAGCAAAGTAGCATTAAGCAAACCAGATGCCTCAACAGCTTCTCGTAAGGCATCACTCTTATGAGTGGAACAGTTGTCAAGGACAATCACACTGTTGGGGCCAGGAAATGCGTTCATATTGGGCAACTACAGCAGATTTGATCAGTGAAATTTCAGACAATGAAAAGAATGCACTTGCTACATCATTAACGACGAAATCGTAGAACTCTGCCCTGTCTATTGATCCCTCAATGACTCGAACAGTCAGATAGCCGTCAATAGTGAGAACTGGCAACACACTGTATCGAATGCCCCTGTTTAAGCGGACACTGTCAATGGGGTATTGTCCACTGAGAGACCAACCATATCTGGGGAGTACGGTGCGGTCATCTTTGCTTGACTCGTCCAGGAACACGAGCTGCTCAGCTGTATAGTTGGCTGTCATGTTGTGCAACCAATCAGCTTGGAAATCGTCATTGCGTTCGGCCGCTATCCTTTTCAAGCGTTTGTAGGTGAGTCCAAGGTCCCCAAGGTTGCGGTAGAGAGCTGATGTGGATATTGGCTGATCATGATATATGGCGAGCCATTCGCCGATCTCGTCAAGTAGCAGTGACGGGTTTTCAGCCAGCAGCTCGCAGATCTCGTCCTTCATGATTTGATCCAGCAAGCGAGGGTGGCCCATGATTGGTTTGTGAGTTAACACATCCATTTTCATTATAATTTGCCTCCCACCGCTCTATACTTCTTGACGACACTCCAAAAGCAGCAGCAATGCGCTCGATCTCCCATCCTTCCTCCAAAAGCAGGTACAGAGCTCGTTCTTTTCGGTCAGGACTGATCTTCTGGTAGACCATAGTGAGTTTGAGTGAGAATTTGTGCAATATGATGTGTCTGACGGCGTGCAGAGGCGTATATACAGCTCGAAACTGATTTATTTGAATTTTCGACATTTTCACTATTTTTGAACCATTTCGAACACATGAGTCAAGACTTTCGGAAATGACTGTAGTGTTTGTATTTGACCTCTGTAGTACTTATAGGTCAGAAAGCAAAAACTCCACTCCCGCCGCTACTGAAAATGTTAGCGCACGTTACGTGCACGTGACGAGCGCGACGCCAGCAGAATGCCAACCAAAAGTATATATAATGGTTCATGTTCGTTTTC